AACACAGATGCATGCTCTTAGTTAGGGTGTGAATTCACAGCATGCCTGCTACTCTACATTAATGCGCATATGAATTCACTTAGACTGTAGCTGCATGAATACTTTCAACTACCCTAACACAGTCGTAGTATCAAAAAAGTTTTATTCTTACTGTCCTTCTGCTAGCATCTCAACAGCAATGAGCAAGTGTTTGTGCAGGACTGTTGTAAGCTGGATCAAGGAATTAAACTGAGCTAGTATGAACCACTTTTGTCACATCAGTTTAAAATCTGGGATGAATTCTTCAGTCTGAGCCACTTAGTGACCATACACGTTATTTCATTAGCACAAGGGAGAAGAATGCACCAAGATGTGTTCTTCAGGACACATCTGTAATGACAGTTACCTTACCTGATCTAAGACAGTCAATTGTGAAACATATATGAAGAACATTTGCTGCAAACATGTAAAACACAGTAAATGATACCCCAGCCTCTGGCTTTGCAGATTATTTTTTGCAAAGGCTTAAAAGTTCCTGACAGTCCAAGAAACAGGAGATTCAGGAGATACAATCTTACTGAGGCTGGATCATCTTTAGTATAGTCACAGATAGCCAGGTACACATACAGGAGGGACATTGTGTCTGCTAACATAACCCCATGATAAGTAAACAGGTAAAATGACTCTAGTGAAGTCTGCTGATGTTCCTTATAAAAGACTTAACAGCATTTGTTGTGATGCTGACATGTGAAATGATGACTCAAATGCAGAACTTACTGAAACCAAAATCAACATTAATTTTATTTACTGAAACCAACCATCAACATTATAATATTACGCCATTTGGATGTGCTTTTTCCTCCCCAAAGCAGCTTCCTTCCTGTCTGTTGCAATTCGGTTCTCAAACTGCTGTTGCTGCTTCTGCTGCTTTTAATGACTTGACACTGTCATTTTATTCCATGTTCAAGTCTGTTGGCTCACTGCCATATATTCAAAACTCCTAATATTCGTGCATGGATTAACTGGTAATCTGAAGTGGGCCGGATAATAGCTTTTGATAGGTCCATTTATGAATATGAAGGAAAGGACATAAGAACTAACATGGGAAAACCTGGCATTAGCATGGAGGAAGTTCATGGGAGGATCTTGATTGTATGCATCCCATATTGAAAGAAGTAACACTGACCTCAGAAAATCACTGGAATAACATTCTTTATTGAAAACTAAACAAAAATATCACATCACTCCTTCAAAAAAAAAAAAAAAAAAAAAAAAAAAAAAAAAAGACTTTCCATCTTCCAGTATCTCCCACAAATAATGCTATTTTGCTCTCACATGCTTTCTGCATCCCTACTGATTAAGTTTCAATTGTGGGTAATTAATATCTTATGGTTGTAACACTGCTGTGAAGTTGGTGAAGCTGACAGATATGCCAACAGGAGAGAGGGGGTTTCCATTTCCCTCCACTGATAAAAGCTAGACACTGCTAGTACAATGCATCAGCGTGGGTTGTCATAGAATCGTGGACTTTAAGATCATGGACTCCAACTGCTAACCCAGCACTGCCAAGTCCATCACTAAACCACATCCCCAGGTGCCACATCTACATGTCTTTCAAATACCTTCAGGGATGGTGACTCACCCACTTCCCTGGGCAGCCTGTTCCAGTGCTCAACAACCCTTTTAGTGAAGAAATTTTTCCTAATATCCAATCTAAACCTCCCCTGGCACAACTTGAGGCTGTTTCTTCTTGTTCTATCATTTGTTACTTTGGAGAAGAGACCAACACTCACCTCACTACAACCTCCTTTCAAGTAGTTGTAGAGAGTGATAAGGTCTCCCCTGAGCCTTCTTTTCTCCAGACTAAACAACCACAGTTCTCTCAGGCGCTCCTCATAAGACTTGTGCTCTAGACCCTCACCAGCTTTGTGTCCCTTCTTTGGACAAGCTTCAGACAAGTCTTTCTTGTAGTGAGGAGCCCAGAACTGAACACAGTATTCAAGGTGCAGCCTCACCAATGCCAAGTACAGGCAGACAATCACTCTCCTAGTCCTGCTAGCGATGCTCTTTTTGATACAAGCCAGGATGCTGTTGGCTTTCTTGGCCACCTGGGCACAAGCTGGCTGCTGTGCAACTAACTATCAACCAACCCCCCGCGGTCCTTTTCCACCAAGCAGCTTTCCAGCCACTCTTCCCTAAGCCTATAGCATTGCATGCAGTTGTTGTGACAAAAGTGCAGGTCCCAGCACTGAGTCTTATTGAACCTCATACAATTGGCCCATTGATTCCAGCCTGTCCAGATCCCTCTGTAGAGCCTTCCTACCCCTTGAACAGATCAACACTCCTGCCCAACTTGGTGTCATCTGCAAACTTACTGAGGGTGCACTCGATCCCCTCACCCACATCATTGGTAAAGACATTAAACAGAACTGGCCCCAATACTGAGTGCTGTGGAACACCACTTGTGACCAGCTGCCAAGTGAGTTTAACTCCATTCATCACCACTGTTTGGGCACAGCCATACAGCCATTTTTTTTTTTACCCAGAAAAGAGTACACCCATCCAAGCCATGAGGAGCCACTTTCTCCAGGAGAATGCTGAGGGAAATGATGTGAAAGGCTTTCTTAAAGTCTAGGTAGGCACATCCACAGCCTTTGCCTCATCCACTAAGAAGACCACCTTGTCACAGAAGGAGATCAGGTTAGTCAAGCAAATCCTGGAGGTCCATAGTATTCCATATTATGTGAAGCAACACAGGCCAACCAAACAGAAGTTGGCGCTGGTGTGGAACTATGAACATAAGCCATCAGGTGTCCTGACATCAGCAGTTTTGATTTAAACTGTCTCTAATGAAAGCAATAGCCTGAGTCAGCCTGCCAGCACATAAACAGGAGCAGCTCTAGACAAAGACCATGCATCTGCAAGATTGGGAGTGAAGCAATACTTCTCATGATCCAAGTTACTGAACAAGCCAACAAGGTGCTTTTGTGTAAATAGTCCCGTCCACAAGTGTACTATGTTATTTTAGGGTTATTTTAACTGAGAATATTATATAATGTTCAAATAACTCTACAAGTATATCTTGGCTTTGTATTTTGCAACCTCACCACAAGACTACACTTCCAGTTTCAGTCTCTTGGATTATATTTCATAGTTTTTATTCCTCTGATCTTGAATACTAAAATTCCTAGAAGGAAGCATTAAATCTAGACGCTGGATATCTCTGCCATGAATAAACAATGTGTCAGTTGCATGTGTTACCTAAAACCGGTTTGAGATGGGAAATTTCAGAAATGTTTTTATAACAATGACTACTTCCTGACGGGAGGAGTGAAGCTAAGATGGATCATGACAGAACATCAAATGTCAAAGGGTGCTCCAGGAAGAGCATCAAAATCAACCCAGATAACTTGGACAATTCCATTTATCTCAGGTAAACGCTGTTTTAGAATTAAGGAACCTAAAACATGGATTAAAAGTGTTCACAGGTATGACTTGATCTCTAAATTGGATTTTTTTTTTTTTTAAATTAAAAAGCATTTTATTTTGGTTTTATGATTTAGTAGAGGCAGTTCAGCAAATCACTCTGACAGAAGACCCTGTGCATGGAGAGTTCCCACAGACGACAGCATGGAAGCTTAGGGGAATGGTGGGTGCAGGACTGGACAACCCTGGCCCACAAGACTCCAGGCAGATTGCTGTGTTTAAGGCTATTGCTAGGTGTATTTGCTATGTTCTGTGTAAAGAATGTATATAGTTTTCATTGAGCAAGTCTAAAAAAAAAAAAAATTCACTAGAGAGGACTGGAAACTGCCAGATATTAACAGATCAGAAGGGGGAAACTTTTAGGAAGGTGCCTCTATTTAGAAGATGGATGTTGTTTACTTAACAATGCACAAAAGCAAACACTTTGTGACATTTAATTTACTGTTATACTGAAACACTGTTGTGGTTTAAACCCAACTGGCAACTAAGTACCATGGTGGAAGAGCCACAATTCCACATTCATGTCAAAACTGCTTTGTCAGCCTTAAGAGATGCAAGTTTCTGCCTAGTAACTAACAAACAAGTAGACAGAAAATAACACTGATACTTTATGATCCCGATTTCTTGGTTTTATTTTACTATGGTATTAATAGGCATTGCAGCAGTACCTAAACTATTCATTAACAGAGCAGGGGGCTACCATAACAGGGACCATACAAAACCAAAATAAAGACACAGCCCATTATATAAAAAGCTAAAAATATATTTAGTTGATATTCACTTCTTGAAGTCTTCATGCTTTGTTAATTTAATTGTTCAAAACTTCGTAATTCTGATCTGTAATTTGTGTTTAATTTTATGCAATTCGCTTTTTATTTACCTGGAATTCATGTATACTATTCCAGAAACATCTACAAATCTGTCTTAATTATGCAAGACAGATATTGAACTGTTACTTAACTGTTTTGTCAAGTCAACTTGGTATGCACAATATTTTGTAAATAGAAGCAATTTCACTTCACTTAGGATCTAAACCAGCTTAAAGCAAGCCAGCTCCAGCAAGATTTACAGTGAGCCTTTGCTATAAATTTAGAGAGTGGGGTGGGGGAGAACAGAAAAAAAAGCGGTCATCTACAGAAAGTGAGTTTCTGTTGACAATGAATTAGTGGATGAACTTTTCCAATACTTTTTTCCAATACTTTTTTCCTGACACTCAGATAGTCCTGAACTATAGACACAGCAATGTTTGCAAAGCACTGGAACAGATCTTGGAAAAAATTAAGTACACCACTAGTGTTTCAGTGTTTTGTCATCTTTCAGTGATTTGTCATCTTCCATCTAATCACTTACAATTGGACAGTCAATATCCACTTCCTTCCATTTGACCTCAAGTTTTAGGTAAGCTTTATTTTTCTTATCAGTGCAGTAAAGAGAGAGACTACTCATAGCTGCAGGAATCCTAACATGGTTTGGTTTATATTTCCAGAGCCTTGTGCAATGTAGACCTTCTCTTCATATAATTTTAAACTACCTACCTTCTGCATTAAGATGCATGGTTTCCAGAGGTCCAATAAATGCGTATCGCATTCCCAATCCATCTGACATCACAAGGTCTAGATCAGTAGGAGATATCACTCCTTCCTAAGCAGTAAAACAAGAAGGAAGATTTGTGAATGTTTGTTTTTTCTGCAAAACTGCCCACTTTCTGTATATAATTAAAAAATTAAGGAAGTAATAAAACTGAAAGCTAGAAATAGCATTTAGCTTGTAACAGAAACACAACTATTTGCCAGAAATGTACCTCTATTATGCATGCCTTCCTATGGTTCAGTATAAACACTTATTTTCATCCCCAAGATTTCTGTACTTCAAAACCCAAATATACTTCAGTACATTTTGACAGTATCTTATTTTTAAATTTATACATTAATACACATTTTAATAAAACTTGTACTATTTGTGCACACTAGTTTGCCTGATACTTACGACTTACAATAATTCATGTACTAAAACTAAACTGGGCTGTTCATGTTACCCAAGATACTTTTGTCCAGAAACTGAGAATCAGAGAACGCAGAGCAAATGTGACACTCTTAATAGCACATGACCAAAGGAGTTAACATAAAATCCAAGTACTATAGTTCCTTACTAAATACAGGAGTTTTAGCTAAACTTTAACTCCGCCCTTCATATTCTCTTAGTGCTGGATTTTTGGGCAGAGTCACAACTGGTGGAACGGGGGTGCAGCAGTGGATACCACTCCTGAGGCCACCTGCAAGAGGCCAACATGTGGACCAAACACACAAGCAATGCAGCTGCCACTCCCTCACACAAAACTCACTGAACATTCAACCTACCCAGCCTCAACCTGCCCAGGTTCTTGAGTTTATTGCCAGCCTCACATCTCAGAGCTGGCAGTATAGGGAGCACGCAAAATGAAGCATTTCTCCTGTTAGAAGCTGAGCGCTGCTGTTCCATCCACATGGTAGCACTCAGAAGAAAGCCAACGCCCCCATCAGGTTAGGGCAAGCACATGAAGGCTTGTAAAATAATGAGTTCCAGTTCATTAGTTACAGTTCATTACCTTAACAGATTTACTTGAGAATAATAGAATTTCTTATATGAGGTTGTTTTTCACCTACTAGAAAGATATGAATTAACTAAGACCTGTTTTAACCATGTTCAGCAGATATAGCTTGGTTTCAAGAACTCATTATTCCCAGAGACACCCCCCCACCCCATTTCCTTCTCGTTAAGAAGGTGGAAGAGATGCTGGACTGCTTCTAATTTGTCTTCTCACCCTATTCTGAGGTGCTCTCCTCAATCACTGCTTCTTTCTTCACAAGCCTCTTCGAGCTACAAGTATGTCTACTCATCTGCTTCACCAAAGACATCCTTTTCTGTTGAATCTCCCTCTCACAGGGCCCTGTCTGAATGCTCCTTCATATCTCACAGTGATCAGCTACAATTACAGGTATGCAGGACAGCTCTCCTGACCTCTTGCAGGCATTGGCATCTGAGCTAGACATCTAGACTCTTTTATAATCACAAAGGAGAAAAAAGAATCAGCATCCTAAAGCAGGCATCTAGAATAGGTAAGATGAGTTGTGTCCTAAGAGGGCCTAATTCTCCTTACCAACTGAAAAATTAGTAAGGAGCTTGGATGTCAATGTTTACACTGTAGAAATCCCATCTTAAGCGAGCTGAATCCCACTCACAGTGTCTTCTGTGTTCATCAGAACATCAGCTACTGTCACTTTAAAAGAAAGTTAAGCCAAGGACCAACATAACTTCTACAGCTGGCCACAGACATCAAGAGCCTTTTATAAGTCTCTGCCTCAAGTCTCGCTCTGTTAGTAGGCATTGCTCCTATCAAAAATAAGCCTGGCTAGAACCTTTTTGCAGGTGGCTTTTGAACTCTCTTGAAAAGGAAATAACATAATTATACATCATATATGGAACAAACAGCTCTGGTTACAATTTAATTAGATATAAAATGGCAGGGATAAGGAAGTATTATTTTCTTCAACTTAAAGTTAAGGCATAGGCATGGTAAAGTAACTCATCTAGAGGCAGACAGAAAGGCCTGCATGAAGACAGGATTAAACTAAAACCTCAGACTGCATTCAGATTACAGACCAGCATCAGTGTAACTAACACAGGCATCATGCGTTCTGTGAAAGTTTTTTCCCCTGACATAGCAACACAACTTCTCTGAATAACATCAGCAAAGTCAACAGAAGTGCTCTTCTGTTGGGAATGCTCCATCCAAACAATGAGTTGTGCTGGTAAAGCTGTGCTTGATGAGTGATTTTTTTTTCTCTCCCTGGTTGACGTGCATTTGCAGACAAAAGATTAACCCCAAGTTCCAGACAAGCATTCGAACCACAGCAGCAGTTTAAAACTGTAAACATAATGTTAAAGAGTTAACAGCCTCTTGAAACATTTCAGAATCATTGCAAATTGATTTTCAAATTAAAAACTGATTTATTTCTTTTGGTACCATAGTCCTCAGATTCAGTACCAACATCTCAACTCAGGGTACCCTCAGAATCATGAGATTAATGCTTTGTTCTTGGTCATTTGACTACAGCTGTAACTTTATAGTTACAGCTCCTAAAAGGCAAAAATTGTTGCTACCAGAAGGAAAACATGATGGATCCCCCTACTTGAGGGATATATTATTGAGCTGTTTCTCATGGTCACATAAACCCTCTTAAAGAAAAGCCTTTTAATTTTTCTCTTCAGAAATTAAAAACGTAAATGAGAAACAAGTTAGACCATCCTCCCCTAGGGAAAAACCCTACTCCCACTTAGGTTAAAGAAATGGTAAGTT